AAGGGATTTCCTCTCTTGAGCACTAATTGCCGTGTGATACTCCGAATCACTAGTCTCTTCTACAAACATTTAAGATTTACAATGTCGTGTGACTCGTTAAAACTAAACTATCTTACTTTCTTAAACTCAATAGGATATAGGTCGGTAACTTTATACAAAAAAATGAAGTGGCTTTTTTAGCTTACAAGTCTTTCTCTGACTAATTACCTTAGGTAGCTCTGCCAAATCCAGGACCTGGTCCTAAAATATGACTTATCTCATTAATTATGGATCATAATGTATTATAAGGGTAAATTTAGCTATCTTCATCCGCTGGTGTCGTCCGAACCTTGCTTTTATTCAGGTACGTACGATAAGCGTATGTATTTCTAGCCAGTCAATGCGTTGGGCTAAGCCGTATTGGGGACCTGATGCACGTACCAAGTAAAAAGGTCACATTTTACATGGCATTATCATATATAATATATAATAGTAAGTAAGATTGTTGTTAAATGGTCCTTCCATGATATATTGAGATATAGTGATATTCTTGCGGTGACCCAAGAAATGACTCATTGAATGATACGCGCGCTGATCATAACCCATTAATCGCTGTCCTACGCGCGCAATGAGTGATGAGCAGGTATCAGAATACTTTGTGTCCTAATACTACAATTGCTGAGGACGTAGTAACAATAACTTATAAAGGGTTATGAAATATTTAATACAGTCTTACTTCTACCACTAATCTATTTTATGTTAGAAGTTTAACTTCCACTATGCCCGTGTACGTGAGGTGACACGGCACTGACTAACACTATATTCAGCGATAATTCAAATTGTACTTTTAATAGCACATATATGCCACAGCCTCGTTATACATCAATTCCTTAATGACATGTTTAGGAAAGTGATAGTTGAATGAGCTTCATGCGTAGAGTATGGTGTCGACGAGCTTATTTTTCTCATTAGGCATGCTTCAGCCGCATGTGACAGGCCACATGCATAGTATCCATATGTATGAATACACATCCATCCATTAGAAAATGTGTATTAAAAGACAACTTGAGGTCCGAAGAATTATTGCGATAAACGTACAATGATGGACACACATATTGTATAAGAATGAACAAGTGTACAATGTGCAATTTTGTAGAGGCCAGGCTGCTTATAGTAACACCGTTTAAACTCTGCTGTATCGGTTTCTCGAGGATATAAAAGTGATATATTAACACTGCTCACACGTTCACAAGCATATGGGCAATCAATCCGTCGTACACCTTGGTGGCACAAGGACAACATGAATAGCATGGTTGCAACTTCGTCAAACATACATTGTTTGATTCAATATGCGATGGAATCTTAATAAGGTTTATGGTCTCCGTTTAATACCCGACATATTCCTGGATGATTTTCCGCGATCGATCTCATAGAGTAGAGCAGGCTATTTTTGACAGATTTCGTAATACACTGTTATAACGAACCGTTACAATGTATTATTAGGCGTTATAAAAAGCTATTCAAAGCCACTATGTTGCTTATGTAACATGACTTGTACACAGTTGTTATCGCTGACAATTTAATAAATTTGTATTGTAGTTTACAGTGCGACTTTACCAGCATCGATGTATGGAATCATTATCACTATCGTATAGCGTGTCAAAGAATCATAAAATAGCTTTGACAAGGCATTTTTTTACATTAGCCTTAGATTGGCTCGTATCTCATTGAACGAGATAGTACATATACATTATTATATGAACATTGGTGCCTGCCAATGCAAAGTCAGTCATTTTAACAGCGGTGGATAATTTCGAAAGAAGCTTGCGTCAAGGGTCGTCAAACTCGACCGACCAAACACGTCTACCTATAAGGTCGCGACACGTATGTGTTCCATCGATGTAATAAAATTTTACCCGTCGACTAGCTCACGGGCGGCAGTAGAATATAATGAGCGAATGCTTTCTAAACTCTTATTAAAGAGACAAGTCTAGATATGACTTTGCAATTGTGTCGATTCAAAGATACTACCTATGAATTACGATATAAGTAAGATGTTGTGCGATCTCGAAAAGCATTTGCGGACGTTAGTGAGGGAAGGGAGTGAAGTGAAAAAGTTTTATCGTGGAAAGCGGTAATCTTTCACGACTTATAGCATACTTTCGCGGGTGTGCCGCGAGCGATACAGGCCATGAACACAAAGCACTTTTGCTTGCAAATAACATGTCTTGTGGGGTGTGGAGATTAAATGATAAAGACCTATGTACTTAGATAAGCTGAAGATCCAATGGTCGGCGATATCGAGGCCGCCGAGGTCAAGGTCATCGAATGAGAGGTCGTCGAAGTCAAGGTTGTCGAGGTCGTCGAATTCGGTTATCGAATGAGAAATCGTCGAAGTCGAGGTCATCGAAGTCGATGTCGTCCAAACCGAGGTCGTCGAACTCAACGTCGTCGGACTAAACGTTGTCGAACATAACGTCGTCGAAATCAACGTCGTCGACGATAGAGCGTAGTGCAGAGTGCGAGAAAGTTGACAAAGATTTATTATATCTAGTTTACGCAAACAGAAGGAGAAGAAGAACAGAGGACCAATCAACGGTTCAGCGATATAGCAAAAGAGCTAAAATAATACAGTGCATAACTTTTAAGTCCAAGACACGCGTACACATAAGGTAAGTCCCTGTGTGGCTAGATTATGCCTGTCGTCGAACCTCGAGAGGCATAGCTTGTAGAGGTATCGACTGGTAGCACCAAGAGTAAAGGAAGGCCCGAGTTAGGTAATGCTCGCTTCCAGCGAAAGAAGGAGTCTCGTCGTCGACGAGCCGGCAAACCTCAATAACAGGGACCGTTGTGAGTCTCATCAACGACGCGACCGAGTGTCTTAAGGGAATACCCCGTTTTCCAAAGACTTGTCTGAGTGACGAGGCGGTGGGTCTCAGCCGAGGACACCGTAATTCTTCCAGTAGGACGTACACTGCACCCGGTGACCTGTAAAAGCGCGTACTGCGTCAGCCTCCATTCGTTGGTGTGAAGTCACAGGTAGAGATAGTTTTCAAGGCTGCTGAGTTCAGGCAGGATTCTGGAGGATTGGTTGAAAGGAATGAGTTAGGGAAACACCACAACAGAACCCAAAGGGACGAACCGCGTATGGATATACCCTAAAGTACTGGCCCGTGTCGCCGACTTAAATCGGCGATTATTGTGTTGGTACGTTAAAACTGCGAGCGGACAGATATGATATACGACTATACCACACTTAAGTGGGTGTTTAAATGAAAAAATATACTACTATTTCGGCGTATTTACTACATATATTTCACTCGTTTATCAGCAGTTCCGTGCAAAGTTGCTTGTAATTTGTTTTTTGTGTATTTACCGATTGGAAACACTTTTAAAGTATTTATGGTTCCAGTTATCACATCGGCTCTGAATCGCGGTCGGCATCATACGTTTTGTGGTTAAAATAAATATGAATCCGATATAAGCTTGAAGTTACTGCGACAACATTTTCGCTATCGCTGGTAAATTTTTTGAAAAAAGGTTTAATTAATATCTATAACTGATAAAAAAGGTCTTTTTATACCTGAAAACTCGCTTTAAAATTTTAAAACTATGTAACATAGAATACCATATAATAGCAATGAGGCAGACGTAATGAGAAATGGGGGTCTGCAATTACTCAGGGGCGAATGCCAAAAAATAATATGAATTTGTTCTGAAGTGCGCATTCGCTTTTTTCGACATCTTTGAGATTAAGAAAGTATGGGATATATTTTCTAATTCATTAGACACAAATGGTTGATATATAAAGAGTTTTTGTGCGTGATAAGAAAAGAGATTCTTACACGGAATTATTTACATTCGAGCCAAATGTACACGGAACGAGCTATCGATACAATATTACAAGCTATCAGGCGCTAATCCGTAGCGTATGCAGCGATCTCATGATCAGCAGCTTCAACAATGACTAACGCGTGCTCGCCTACTTCTATGCATATAGAATCCGCCATCGCGCCGATAAATATTCATAAATATATGCGGTCAAGAAGTTAAGCGCCTGATGAAATGCACCATTTCTGCGAAAAAAACAATTCTCAGCTTGCATATTATTATTTCAATGATATACATCGGATCTAAAATATATCACAAATAAAAAGATATATACATGTGAGCGATATTAATAAACAATCCATTAGAACGCAACAGTAAATCGATTATCGAGTTTGAAGCGGCTGTAAGAAGTGGAATAGTCGATGTAATGAAGGGAATAAATAGTTTAAATGACCTAAGTCGAATTTAAACTGATAACACCATATTCCAAAGATCTTGCTAACCCCTCTGGTGTTTGCTTGTCGGTGGTGTAGTACGGATGCTGCAATCACGAACTACGTGTATATATGTCTTGGTTTATTTATAAAATTAATAGTTATTAAATAAGTAATTTTATAAGCTGTTTTTGTAAGAAAACGTTAATCGGATTAAAAATGGTCAAATTCAAATATAATTTATTTTGTTTCCAGAACACAAAGTAGCATAAATTGCTGAGTGACTTCTACAACAGAATATATTGTAGGGCAATGCTGCTCAATCTTAGAGCACTTTCGCGTTGATTACCCAAAGGACGCGATGAAAAACCCTTATGTGGTAGATATAGCATTGCTTCTAACAAAGGGCTAGTAATGTTCCTGTTAAGTATGATTTACACAAGAAATGATGTATTGTACAAGACATCAGTTACACCTTCCAAATATATTTACTAATATAATGCATAAGATTTATATGCTGATATTTATGCTTAAGTCATCTTATAGCAACATAGATAGGGGTTGTCTAGGCGTACATCCCCTAGTAACTATGCGCACACCCCCGTGTGTGTAATCGTCTAATCGTTCCGTGTACCCTCTCGTTTATTATAAAACGAGGTTTATTTTTATCTCGCGCTGATCAGAAACCGAGAATTAGCGCGCGGAAGAAGCCACAAGGGACCATCACTCTCTTTTCAACTGTGTTGAAGCCACAGAATGATCAGCGAGGACGCTGCCACGCGCGCAGCCAAGCGCAAGCACGCCACCTCGGGCGGCCGCAAGCTGCTGCACTGGGGCGCCGCGCACTGGCAGCTGTTTGAGCGCACGCTGCCGTACACGACGTGCCCCAAGAGCGCGCCGCTTTTACACCTGCGCGCCTCGCTCGCCTCTATGTAACTGAGCTGCTGTACCGTCTGCGGAGTGGCCCGTTCTTACGCTCTCGTGTCTCTCTTTTTCGTTGCTGTGGTTTACTAGCTAAGAGATCCATTTTTCCAGTCGAAAGAGTCACGCGCCGTCGGTGGTGATGGAGCAACCGATTGGCGGCACGCGCTCGGTGTCTGTACTGAATCTGGGGCTCGTGATTGACGCGACAGGCAGCGTCACGTGTCTGCACGATGTCAAGTGAGCTGCGGTTGCGGTTGTGCTGTGGGGGTGATGGTGAGGGAATGGGAGGTACTGAATAGACAATTGCATGGGCTGGTAGGGAGAAGGACGGTGTAGATGTTCAGTATGTCAATCTGAAGGTTTACGGGAGTAAAGGTAGGAGCTCTTTTTAAATAGTTTGGCATGGTAGACTGTGGGCGTCACGTGTAAATGATGTTACTGGGTGATTGTATGTAGATGAGGAAATGGGTCCGGAGGTGCACGACAACAGGTTGGCAGAAGCATTTTGCACGACGCTATTCGGCCACTTGAAGGGCGATGGATGGGACATGGATATGGCTGTTTTTTGGGGCGGATGGCTAAAACTTTGTGGGGTTCCTCGTTGTGCGGTGCGTGACGACAGTGTTGGCGTTGAAAAGAGATACTCAAGGGGTAAATTTGTGGTGCTGATAGCTTTTTGGTCGAACATTGCGGCCTGAATCTCGACGCTTCGGTTGGAGAGTTTGCAGTCTCGACTTTGCCTGGTATCTACATGAGTCATTACCTGACGGTACGTGGGTGTTTGAGCTATGTAAGAGGGCCGGCTGATATGAGACTAAATTGTGCTGTTTTTGTCTTTTCTATCGGAACAAACTTTGGAAGCACGAGAGCGAATTACCCATTTTCATTGATGTTGTAACGGACCACGGTGTCATTTAGACCCCTTTGGATGCTCCGTAAAATCTCGGCGGCTTCGAGTGTAAGGAGCCAATTTTTTAGTTCGTTGCTAGCGAAGGCGGCGGCATCCCTGGTAAAGATGGAAGCATTTCAGAGCAGCAACTGGTTCAGTACATTGAAAATATCTCGAGTTGACTGAGTTCAGCGCTGCGCAACGTCATTTTTCAGCCACGGAATGGGAACAGAGCTAAGCACTTTAGAGAGGACTTTCTTACGAATGACGCGTATTCAGGTGTCAGGCCGTGTATTGCATACGAGCCAGCATGACGTGTGGTGCATTTGGATTGGTACGCCCCCTCAAAGCTGCACGCACACCCCCTGCACATGACGCGACGAAATTCAATTCCTCACGTTACACATCTAAAAATTGATTGCAACCTGACGGGAAAAAACATGTTCGTGTTCCGGTCGTGAGATAAACATAGTAAAATCTACTCATTGCATATGTATTAGTTACTCTGCTAGCTGTTTGCTATTTCAAGAGGACAATTGCGCCTGTCATGTCCTTCCTCTCGACAATCTAGATTTCCACATCTTCGCGGAGCTCGCGCTCTATCTTCCACTATCTCAAAAGCAGAAGGATTATGCCTTGTGCTACTCCCCGCCACCGCACCCACATGTCTGCCTCTAGTCCGCACTTCTACAGGATTGTGCATATAGGTGAGCGGCTGTTGGGAGAGCTTTACAATTTGTTCCTCTAAAATACGTTACTGGTGTGGGGGGGGAGTTTTGTGTTGAGATTGCAGCTGTGTCAATGCATCTGCAAAATCTGTCATCGCACTCAGGCTCTTGAGGTTTTACAAGCCACCAGTGACTATGGAAATGGTAGGCTCTAGACCAAAATATTGTTGCCAATTAAATGGTTGAGTACGTGGAAGCAAGGAAGACCCATCGTACTTCGAAAGATGCTGTAGCAGGTGGAGTCGCCGGCCAGGTGTTAAGCTTTCTAAAAGTGTTCATACATCTTGTTCAAAGCATAGTGTGATACCTTCCGCTTGACATCCTTTCAAATGTTGTAAGAAAAGACGAGCATGGAATGCGTCTTTTTGTAGATAATCTGTTGACGGATGTGATGTTTTTGATAGTCGATCGAGAGGGAAATCTTCTCGTACAAATCTTTGAGATCTCCTGAAGAGACACTGATCTATCCTTTATCGAATAATTTTTGCTTTCAACGCGAGATGTAGCCAAGTGACCAAGATGAAAGACCAGCTTGGTGAATGCGGTGACAAACTTTTTCTTGTGTACGATCCATGAGCTACTCAAGAATTTTACGGTCTGTCCGTACTCGCAGTAGGATATTTGCAAATCTTTCCAATTAGCGATAAACGTCTCCACATCTATCGAAGCATCCAGAAGTTGATAGTCTGCCAGAAACCGTTCCCACCCTTCATTGCTTCGGAAATGTTTCTTCAGGTTGGCAAAAATGATCTTTTCGATGTGCCATACGCAGGAAAGATTAATAACATCTCCGAGTATGATTTGAATCGCTGACATTAAGGCCAGCTCTCGATCAGTAACCACCACCCCAGGCAGGCGGTTTAAGAGAAACACCCCTTTCACGCGTATCATAGCCCAAAAAAAGTCCTCTTCTATCTCTCCGCTCATAGAGCAAAAGAATATGGAGAATGTAGCATTGGTGCTGGTCATGCCGACAACGTGGAGGAGTGGGAGCTTGAACCTAGTCGACAAATGTTGTGTTAGAGATTTGTATATTGCAGACTGCAAGGTGTAAAGCTCATCACCTGTTGGTCTTATACGGAGAGTCCAACAATACAACGTCGGGAAACTCTCTGGATCGATCAACAGCAATTGGCGGGGCGAAGATGAGGTGTGTGATTCGACCCTCATCGTCTTTTGCATAGTCATGCATGACCTATTTTTCCTGCAGCTCGTCTAGCAGGGCTTCCAGAGGTGTACGGCCGTTAAAATCTTCTTGTCGAAGCCGGGCTTTAGGATTGGAGATGTCTTTACTGGTGAGGTTTATTTGCGGATCTTGTTGCCGTAAGGTCGTAAGAATAACATTGGGGGATGCACTGGCCTTGGCCATCTGATGAATGACCTGTCGCGCTTGATCTGTGACTATACGTGCGCTGGGAAAGCCTGACATATCGGCTGTTTCCTCATGATTGGGAGAACCCTTCCCTACCTTGACCCGCCACATCCATCCCTCTGCGGTCAATTCTCTTTTGATAGTGATGATCCAGGGGCATTCAATGCATCTGCTGCTGGTCTTTCTATTCCGATGACTTTCAGTAAGATATTCACGACAATTCCTGTACTCTAGGCCGTGCGAGCAATGGAGCCAGAGTTTGCGTGTTTCACCGCTTTTGGAGGGTTTTGAGCGAGTCCGTTCCCCCACAGTGTAGCTTTAGTCAAGCACAAACCGCTCTACTGCCAACTGAGCATCATCAAGGGAAGGATAAGTATGATTGGGAGGTGGTGCTACCATTGCCGGAAGAGCAAGGAGTAGAGAGATAAAAGGATGAATGGAGGATAGCTCGCATTTAGCGGGAGAAATTTTTTCCCCGACATCACGGAGGGGGATGTGCGCGTAGTTATTAGGGGGTGTACGCCTAAGCGGTCCCTATCGATATTATATAGTCAGTATACGTCTCAAAGCTACTGATAGCATAATCATTTTTCCGTGATAAACTCTCTTCGTTACAAACTTATTCTCAGATCATTAAGTATATGTTGTGGCCTAAACTAGAAGCAAAAAAGAATGCATATTAACCGAAAGTAAACTTCCAACCAGTCGTGTACCAAAATGTTTCTTTACAAAACATACGCCTAATTTATATGTGTAGATTAATTAAGTCATTTTTGTGCTCAAAGATATCTTAATTTAAAATGAATAAATTTAAATTGACATATAATTACAAACGCATCTGATATGAAGCAATTTTTAAGCTAAAATTCGTCATCTTTTCGTAATTCTTATAAGTCGCAATATCCTGTCCATGCCGTAGTATTTACTTCAGTATGAGCGTTCACTTCACCTTAGTAAATCAACAATATTACAGCAGAGTCTTGCAGCATTGCGTCCCTATTTAATTTAAGCGCAATCCCACTACTCCGATAAAATAGTAGCCAACATCTGAATATTCAGCTTCTGGAACATTAATATTTATTAGTAGTAGACCAAAATTTTGTCGGAACTCATGGTTGGACTCAATTAGTGTCGGCGTTCTAGTACAGTAAGATTCTATTACCTGTGAAAATCGATAGAATCAAATTTCTGTCATAAAACATTGGCTAGCCGATGACGCGCGGCGGCAAAATAGAGAGATGATTATTAATTTCTTTAATAAATAGCGGTATGGTCTTACCAATAGTTACTTGTCAAAACATAATTTCATCTACAAGTATATAAACAGCGGCTCACATCATATTATACAAGTAGCACGTGTCTTTAAATGGTGCTCTTTAGTTGTATGAGTAGAGAGGTCTTTTGGCCATAGCAATAGTAGCCACATTTTAAGCTGCACTTATGTTTAGATCATACAAGAAAAGTATCATAAAGAACTGATACAGTTTCTACGTCCCTTCAAGTTATAAAAGCTGTCAATTATTTATATTAGACATCAAAAGAGTAAATTAATTTAATGCTAAGTATCATTAATTTAATATTGAGTATCATTGTTGCATGAGCATTTGTTACTACGATTTATTGTTTTGAAGCTTCAGCTTTTTCAAAGAATGCGCTAAATAGATCTGCTACACTAATTGGTGACAAAAGTAATTATATATCTAAGTCGTCATACTCAGAAAATTAATGAATAAAGCAATATCTTTCTAGAGTAAAGTTGCTATTGCTAAGCTGACCGAAACGTGTTATACATATAGCAATGACAATCCTGTATTACATGGATAGGAGCTGGTAAACTCACGTCTTAACGGATACTTTGCAATGGGTTTCGTTTCTGTCATATATATTTTGGACCAACTGGCGTCCGCTATTTTGTCGTGCTTTAATTCTGTGCTTAGTATAGATGCTAGTAAGTTTTATCTTTATCCAAATGCGTACACAAAAAAGGGCACCACTTCGCGACACCACAGCAACCCAAATTGGTTGGTTTTATTATTCCAATTTTATTGCCTCTTTGACTCTTTATCTTTGATATCGAAGATCTCGTCTTGTCGATACCTCGTCGCTACATTTGCCTTTGTAAGCTTATTGACCATCTCGTGTTTTTCATCACTACATTATGTTTACTCTCTTCATTTCTTGTTGCTTATCTTAATAATCAGTATGTGTTGTTGAATAAGATCGCAAAATTGTAGCGAATGACCAAATTAAAATGGTTTTATGGTTGAACTACTTGCTTCAACTTCTTTGTTTATTCATTGCAGCTGTGTTGCGCCGTATAATGCGTCGTTTATTTTGGCTTTAATAAGCGTATTGCGACTTTTGTATAACAATTTTCTTATTGCGTGAGCAAAGCCTTATAATATCTTTCTTACAACCCTGACCACATCCAATTATTTGTATAAGCTACAATAATATGTTTTGTGTTCATGGCGAAATTATATCTAGCGCACCGCCGATCGAGCATTCATCGTCAGCGACCGGCGCACCTTTTCTTTATGGCTAGCAAATGGAACCCATATCATTTTTATATTTACGCTTTGCGCCTCAATGTTATATAAATTTACATCGACTCGAATAGTGGACCGGAGCTGACCCGTATGTAATTCCTTATCTTCATGCAAGGAGCAAAAGCATTTCGCAGAGGATCTTAATATTTTCTATAACAACACGCAGCTATAATTTCTTGTCAGTATTCTACTTGTTAGGGGTTACAAGCTAAATTATATAAAAGGATCATTTTGATGTATGATACAAACGATACGGCTTAAAAATGATCGTGTTTGGAATGTAATAGGTAAGCACTGACCCACCAATACGTACTTCCCCCATATAGAGGCCACTCCTTAAGTACAGTAACCTCCCAAACTAATTACTGCACAGTTATACATACAAAATGGCATATAGATATTCGTTGCTACGTACACACCCCTCCGTAATATAGGCATTTTTTTGTCAGCCCACCTTGCGTATGATTTTTGCTCTCATTTCCGGCACACACCCTATAAGTAATCTTTATAATTATAATCCCCTATTTTATAGG